GTGTTTGTTTAGCTTAGGTGAAATTGATCTTGAGATGGAAGAAGTAACTGAAGCCGAGAAAACTTGAAGGGGATCTTTATCAAGAAAGTTATTCAAAATAGAAGAAGAGTTCCCTAACAGGAACTGAGTTCCCTCACAGGAACGTTCCTTCACAGGAACTTGAAGATTGCTGGCTAAGATCTTTGGAGGAACTTAGTAAGCGTGGAGCCCAAGTAAACCTACCAGAACAAGAGCGCAGCGCAACAATGTTTTAGTTAAGATTTTATCTTCTAGATTCATTGTTAAATATGTTAAGTAGGATATGCATGAAATTTATTAGAAGCGTGACAATTAGCTTGGCAAATAAATTAAAATCGGAAAAGATAAAAGATAGAAATAGAAAAAGATTTTCTTTAAATATTTATCTTTTAAAATCAGTTTGTTAAAAAGATATTATGCTTTTTAACTCAATATTTCTATCTTATTTTCTGAAAAGATTTTCTTCAAAAGATTTACTTAAAAACTGTGTTTTAAGATAAGTTAAGTTTTACTTATTTATCTTTTTGAAAACCTACTTTCAATATAAGTAATACTTGTATAAATAGTAGAGAATAATATGAGTTTAGGTTTTTGTGAGTTTTATGCGTGAAGAATTTACAGAGCTATAATCGTGTAAGTTTGCCAAGCTTATCATATTGTCATATTAGTTTCGGGTTTCATGCATAGCTTGCCTATCATATACTAGGTGTTTGTACTTGTAATTGGTTGGGGTTATTTGGGTGAGAAAGTATTTTTATCATTGCATACAGAGAGAGCTTCTGGTGAGATGGGGAAGATTTGTACTTAGGGAGTACGAGAGAGTTTGAGTGTGGGACTCAGACTGGGTAGAGCAGTGCATTGTTCTGTAGCAAGTTCATTCAGGAACTTGTGAGTAGAGGCTTAATTATAATAGGTTGTAACTTGGTGTTTGCCCTATTATAGTGGAAGTATTTGCGTTTGAAATCCCTAAGGTAGGGTCGAGGTTTTACTTCTAGTTGGGCACTAGAAGGTTTCCTCGTAAAATCCTGTGTGCTTTGCAAGTTCTTATTTTGTTATGTTTTATATTTGCAAAATTAGTAATTAGGAACTCATCTACAATTCACCCCCCTCTTGTAGTGTTCATCTCAATTAACAATATATTTTAAGACTTTTGGAGCATGCATGTTTCCTTTTGTTCACATTCATGCAGGAGAATTTTATACAAGTGCATCGTGCATGTATAACTAAACTTTAATCTTGTCGGTATTTTGCTATATAGGAAGATAGCAATTCATGTTTGGATGATGAATTTGGAAGGATGGTGAGAAAGATAATATGATATTGTGAATATAAACCATTATTGGACAGTAATTAACCTCACTTTTATAAAATAAGGTACTAAAATTTAATTTAAACCATTAATAATTGACAATAACCTCTGTAGATTAATGAGATCGATACCTTCGGATGTCTCTAAGTATATATAGTTCATTACGAGTACGGAGTATCATTTTAGGAAGTTTTGCAAATCTTGCATTATTTTTTTTTTTTTTTTTGCAAACGACTTCTCTATATCACTTTCTTCATAATATGGGTCTTCATTTTTTATGTCTCTTTATAACCCTCATCATCTTAAAATCTGTACAATACCTTCATGGTGTAACATTAATATAAAGGAATAGAATCACTTCTTATAAAAGTTGCTAGAATTTGTATTCTATACGTACAACCTTTAGATAATTCGCAATTTCACAAGCATATATATACACAAATGTCATGGCTAATAAAGTTATCGTTCATAGTAATAAACAATCTCTTTTTTTATAATTGAACGATAAATAAAGGTTCTAGCTTATATAAATTGATGATCAATATACTACTACTCTGTACTCAATCAATCAAACTGTTATAAACTATTTTGTACTAATTGAGAGTTCAAGTTATTCAATTATGAAAAAAAAATATTGAAACCGATAAGAGTCTATCACAAATTCACAACAATAATAAGGAATATATTCTTTACGTACAACCTAATACAAACATTTTGTTGAATTATTTGTTGGAAATAAAGAATCCTCATCATTATATTTGCCTTAAGGAATCGCTACTTTTCTCTTCCTCCATTGAAAAAATAGCAATTTAACTCACGTTTCTTACATCATTTATTCTTTTAAGTGCATGATTCCAACATGAGCCAATGTCATTTGCATCCAATTTTAATTAGAAAATTTCATCATCCACTTTTTTTTTTCTTACATGCATGTTGCTTGATCTAACCAAAAAATCTCTATTATTGTTGGTGGAATTTGTTCTTCTTGGCATATGGTAATTTCCAATTGTCCACCCATAAAAAATCCTACCGCGTTTATTCAAAACCTTATTAATTTACTGCATGGGTTATTACCAGTTCTATTTTACCTTCAATGTGCCCTAATTTTATGTTATACTAGAGTGTATTCGTGCTAGCGTACTGTTGAGGGTAAAAATACCTCGTATACATGGACCAATCCCATAGTGACACGTGACCCAGTTATAAGGTGACACGTGTCACCACGGGAAGATGTCATGCAATCCAGAGTTCTTAAGGTTTCAAGCCAATCTCATAGTGACACGTGGCCCAGTTATAGGGTGACACGTGTCACCACGGGAAGATGCCATGTGTTTAGGCAATATGTTCCTTCTTTAAAATTAGCACGCCAGAAAGCCCTAACAACGTCAGGGCCCAAATCCCGAGAGATATCAATGAAAGCCGCAAAACGGCGCCTCCAGAGTGGCACGTGGCATTCGCTGATTGCGCAGCCAATCACGTCACGCAAATCTAGGGTATAAACCCTAGAGAGGGGCACGAGTCCCACCCCTATAAATACCCCAATCGTTTATGAAAGGGGGAGATTCAGACAATTGAAAAACAACAGAGCATTAAATAGCTCCAACTTCTCTATACTTTCTCTCTCTAGCCTTTTCCGTTCTGATCATTGACTTGATCGTCAGAGGCGAATATTCCGTTGATCGGAATATTCATTGTTTTGCAGGTTGGACCGACTCATTGCCAGAAGAGCGTGACCAGAATCCCAGGAAATCCAAAAAATACCCGAAACATTTGGCGCCGTCTGTGGGGATACTCGTACGTTATGGCGATAGACGATCAGACACCTAATCCAGGCGAGGATGGACATGTAGAGGATTTAATCCCTACGATCCGTACTAGCGATCCTCTGATAGCCACATTTGAAGAAGCTGATGACCCTCCTGTTACCGCAACCTCTCTTAAGGCCGCACTTAACAAACTCAGAAAAGAAATTGAAAACAATGGAGCCTCTACCTCTAGGCAGCCGCCCAGGAGAGAGGAACAGAGGGCTCCAAAGAAGACACATAGCAAAGCAGTCCATGCAACGGACGCTGGAAACACTCCTTTTCGAAGGCCGACTGGAAGGTCCCCGAGAGTACCGCGAACTAATTTCTCTGACTTGCTGGCGAAAACGCAGTCGGCTGGGGGGAGGGGTAGGCAGCCTCGAAGAGAGGAGCCTGAGCCGTCCAGATGATGGAAGAACGCAAGAGATTACCTTCGGCATAAGCAGCGGGAACGCGTCGCCTACTCGGACACGGCTTCAACCCCAACTATGCCGGATGATTTTTCACATCATTCTCTTTCCCAACATACCAACACGGCCATCTCCAGTGGAAGTCAGACAGTCCGCACCCCAACTCCTATTCCAGTACAAACATTGCAATATCAGCCTCCTCAGGGGTTCAATGGCTTGATGCAGCCGAACCCCAAGGCGTACGGACAATATGGGCCATATGGGCAGGTGTACGGACAGGCTCCCTATCTGGCTGGACCGTCCATGCAACCGCAACCCATTGATTGGCAGATGCGTCTACTTACTCTGGGAGATAAGCCGCCCCCGTTTTCGCAAGATATCTTAAGTGCCCCTCAGCCACCAAAGGTAAAGAGTGTGCTTGTGGGAGCTTATGATGGCACGGGCAACCCAGAAGAGCACATCACCTCGTACAGGAACCTGATGTACTTGCAAAGCGTAGATGATGCTACTTGGTGCAAATGTTTCCCGGCCACTCTAAAAGGTGTGGCGCAGGATTAGTTCACCAGTTTGCCGGCCAGGTGTATTAATTGTTTTACTACTCTTAGTTTGCTGTTCGTGGGAAATTTTTCATACAACATACTGCCTCGAAAGACTAGCCTTAACTTGGCGACAATCGTCCAAGAAAAAAATTAGGGCTTACGCTCGTACGTCCAGCGATTTAACCAAGAAAAAGCCCAAATTCATAATCTGCCGGACGAAATGGCTTATTCTGAATTTCTCTGGGGATTAAGGCACAATGGTTTTAAATTTGACTTGGTAAGGAAAAAGATTCGGACATACGCAGGTGTTCTGCGGGAAGCCGAAGCTTATATTGAGGCGACGGACTTTTGTTCGCTCACCTAAGGGGAAGCGCCGGCCAAAGGGGCTGAGAAAAAACCTTCTCAGCAAGACTCGGTCGGCCAAAAGAAATATAGAAAAAAGAGAAAGGAAGTCTGGGTGGCTGATGCCCAGCCACAGAAGTCCAAGAAGGCCAAGGCGTACGAGCCTCAGTATGAATTCAATAAGGATTGCTATTCTATCCTAATGGAAATCAAGGATAAGTTTGAATTTGAGAAGCCACAGCCGCTGAGAGGCCTGGCTCAGTATAGGAACAAGAACAAGTATTGTCATTACCACAAGGATGTGGGACATGACACGAACGATTGCATTAACTTAAAGAGACTGCTGGACAAGCTAGCCGAGAAGGGCATGCTGAATTCGTATGTGATGAAGTCCAAATTCACTTACACACGGACAAACAACACGTCCGAGCAAAGACAAAAGAATGATAAGAACAAAGATAAAGAAGACGATGGCAACAACACTGATTCAGGCTTTGTGGCCGTGATATCAGGAGGATTTGCCTCAGGCGGTCCCACTATAAAAGGGATCAAGCAGGACGCCCGGAACCTGGGGTAGGTGATGCAGATGGACTCGGTGAAGGATGAACCCTTCCCTGAAGTAATCATCAGTGAGGCCGATCGGGGGGAGGTCAAAGCCTTACACAATGATCCCATGGTATTCATTATGAAAATAGCCAACTTGAAGGTCGGACGAATATTGATAGACACGGGTAGCGCGGCTGATATCATCAGCCTGGCCGCCTTGAAGAATCTAAGCTTCCCAGAGGATGCTCTCCAGGACATCACTCACTCGCTGGTCGGATTTGGGGGGAATGTCATCCACCCAGTGGGGCGGATAGACTTACCTGTCCGATTCGGGCAAAAAGGGGAAGGAAGAGATATGGTTGTCCGCTTCTTGGTCGTGAAAGAATTGACTGGATATAATGTCATACTCGGCCGTCCTACACTGAATGCAGCAAAAGCAGTCATTGTGCCTCACCTAATGCTGCTAAAGTTTGAAAGGAAGGACGGGAAAATAGGTACAATCCAAGGAAGTCAGAAGATGGCTAAGGAATGCAATCAGTTGGCGGTTAAGCCTACGGCGCGCGGACCAAAAACGTCCGTGCCAAAAGAAGAAGGAACCTCACTCCCAACACACCAGGTCGGTCAGAAGCGTAAGGCGACCAAGATAGAGCAAGCATAGCAGCTAATGACTGTCGGACGGCCAGAAGAGCTACGCCCCCAGCCGACCGGCAGTCACCAGGATATAGTGCTTAACCCCGATCAACCAGGTCGGATGGTCAGTGTGGGCACTATAGCCTTGGGTGTGCTTGGGGATAAGTTAATTCAATTATTGAGAGAGTTCAAGGATGTATTTGCATTTGATGTCGGCGAGATGCCAGGTATAAGTCCAGACCTGGCCGTGCATAAATTGGCTGTAAACCCGGCCGTTAAAATTGTCCGCCAGAAGAAAAGGAATCATGGAGAAGAGAGGAATCAGGCGGCCACAGCAGAAGTCAAGAAGCTTCTGGACGCCGGTTTCATTCGGCAATGCTATTACCCAGAGTGGGTGGCCAATGTGGTCCTTGTCAAGAAGTCAAATGAAACTTGGAGAATGTGCGTGGATTACACCGATCTAAACAAGGCATGCCCTAAGGATAGCTTTCCCCTGCCCAAAATCGACCGTCTGGTTGATTCGACGGCCGGGCATGCCCTGATGAGTTTTATGGACGCATACTCAGGATTCCATCAAATTCCGTTATGGGAGGAAGACCAGGAGAAAACAACGTTCGTGACTGAGCAGGGGTTGTATTGTTACAAAGTTATGTCATTCGACCTTAAGAATGCCCCAGCTACCTTTCAGCAACTTGTTAACACAGTCTTCAGAGATCAGCTCGGCCGGAATATGGAGGCGTACATTGATGACATGATTGTCAAGTCAAAAGAGCCGGCCGACCATTTAAAGGATCTACGAGAAACTTTCACTGAACTCAGGCGGCATAAGATGATGATAAATCCAAAGAAATGTGTCTTTGGTGTTGAGTCCGGTAAATTTCTCGGATTTTTAATTGATCGACGTGGAATTGAGGCCAACCCTGAAAAAATCCAAGCTGTCATGGACATGAAGTCACCAAGGACAATTAAAGAAGTCCAAAGATTGACCGGCTGTTTGGCCGCACTTGGTAGATTTCTGTCAAGATCAGGGGATAAGTGCCGTTATTTCTTTCAAACCATAAAAAAGAAAGCCATGTTTGAGTGGACAGAGGAGGCCGGGGAAGCATTCGTACAGCTAAAAGGCCATCTACATACATTGCCTCGGCTTGTTAGTCCACTTAAGAGCGAGAAGCTATTCATCTATCTCGCTATCTCAGAACACTCCTTAAGTGTCGTCCTACTTGCTGAACGGGACGGCCGCCAGATCCCTGTCTACTTTGTTAGCCACGTACTTCATAACGCCGAGTTAAGGTATCCCCCCATTGAAAAATTTGGCTTGGCATTGTACATGGCATCGAAAAAGCTGCAGCCATACTTCTTGGCACATTCAATTGTGGTCTACACAGACTAGCCTTTGAAGAAGCCATTTACAACTCTAGAGGCAAGCGGTCGTATGCTTAAATGGGCCTTGGAAATGAGAGGCTTTGACATTGCATTTGAGCCAAGAAAAGCAATTAAGGGGCAAGCCTTTGCTGATTTTTTAGCTGAAATGACTCGGCCGGATCTTCAGACAGCCGGAGACCAGATCTGGAAAGTGTTTGTGGATGGTAGTGCGACAGCTACTGGTTGTGGTGCAGGTGTTATATGTCAGTTTGAATATGCTCCGAGATTCCAGTTTCAAGCCTCTAATAATGAGGCCGAGTACGAAGCCCTCTTGGCCGACCTTAGAATGTGTAAGGCGGCGGGAACGACAAAAATTGATGTATCCTCGGACTCCCTACTTGTAGTCGGCCAAGTGAATGGCGACTTTGAGGCAAGGGAGCCGACCATGATAAAATACTTGAAGATTGTCAAAGAGGAGGCTAAGAGCCTAGATCACTTTACTCTACAGCAGGTCCCTCGTTCGTCCAATCATCAGGCGGACGCCCTCTCTAAGTTAGCATCCTCATCATCATGTGATACTCCCAGGTCAGTGTTTTGGGAAGTGAAAGAAAAGAGGAGTATTGACGTTGAGCCACTACACGCCATTGATAGAAGCTCCACTTGGATGGACGGGATCATATCTTACCTAAAGGACGGATTACTCCCGTCCGATCCTAAAGAGAGCTGGTTGATGAAAAAGAGAGCGGCCTGGTTTGAAATTCAGCAAGGAGAGTTGTTCAAAAAGGCATTTGTAAAGTCGTACCTGAAATGCATCACTCCTAAGAGAGGGCATGATGTATTGAATGATCTTCACCAGGGGCAGTGTGGATCTCACATTGGAGGACGAGCTTTGGCTGAAAAGGCTGCCTGCCTGGGCTACTACTGGCCGAGCTTAAGGTCGGACGCAATGGAAATGGTAAAGAAGTGTGACAAGTGCCAGAGGTTTGCAACATTAATCCACCGACCCGCCAACAGTCTCTCGGCCATCAGTAGTCCGCTCCCCTTTGCCAAATGGGGGATGAACATTTTAGGACCGTACACACCAGCGTCCGGCCAGAGGCGGTATGTGTTTGTAGCAGTAGACTACTTCACAAAATGGGTAGAGGCCGAGCCTGTCCGGGGTATCAAATGGATGGTTGTTTCCGCTTTCATATGGAAGAGTATCATTACACGCTTTGGCGTTCCATAGTCTATGGTGTTTGACAACGGACCCCAGTTCGAAACGCCTCAACTCAAAGAATGGTTGGAAGACCAAGGCATAGCTCACTGCTTTGCTTCAATTGGCCGTCCACAAGCAAATGGTCAAGTAGAGGCATACAGAAAATTGATCTCCAATGGAATTAAGCGCAAGCTTGAAAGAGCAGGCGGCTTATGGGCTGATGAGTTAGTTAATGTGCTGTGGTCCATACGAACCACAGCCAAGAGTTCCACAGGAGAAACTCCCTTCTTCTTAGTCTATGGTGCCGAGGCAGTCCTTCCAATAGAAATGTATGAGCCCACCCTTAGGGTGATGCTATATGATGAAGCGGCCAATTGGGAAGCCATGAAGACCGCCTTAGATTTCCTTCCTGAAGCTAGGGACAACGCGGCACTAAGACACGAAATCTATCGTCTACGGATAACAAGGGCGTACAATCGCCGAGTGTCGAAGCGGCCGATAAAGTTGGGAGACCTGGTCCTAAGAAAGATGGAGGCTGTGGGACGAACAAATGAGGATGGGAAGCTAACCCCAAATTGGGAAGGGTCGTATCGAGTCAGGGAAGAGGTTCGAGATGGGACTTACCGTCTTGAAGCCATGGATGGCCGACCCATCCCGCGTACATGGAACGCCGACAATCTAAAGAAATATTATGTTTAAGTACTTAGCCAAAAAGCTGTGTATATGGCGCCAAATTTTAACAGGGTAAAGTCGTATCCCCTAATCAAAAGTAAATACCTAAATCCTCTAATTAAAGTAGATAGGGAAGTAGGGTCGATCTCCACAGGGAAACAAGTCTTTTTACTCCTAATTAATTATTATAATCTAAATTATCTAAGTAACCAATATTTATATTTGAGTATGAAACTAAACTACAAGGAAAAGGAATAGGGGAAAAAGCAATATATAAAAGGATCTAGGGCATAGGTTCACCAATAAATAATATTCCAGGGTAAAACATATTAATCAATCATTGACATTGCATAAATAACATGATTAACAGGCTCTCGCAATTTATTAATCAACATAGATTTAACAGGCTCTCGCAATTTACTAGATCTAAGTTCTAATTGAAAATAGCCTTTAATATCAAATTAACATCTGCTCGATTCATCAATTTAATATTGCTATACTTTTACAAGCAGCAATTGTAAAACATTAAAACAATTCAATAGGAAATTATCATGCAATATCAATAATCAATAATAGTCAATCATCAATGCATCAATTAACCAGATTGTAAAGGGCTTTCGCTACGTATTACAATCACAGAATTAATCTACCGGTATTAAATCTCATCTCTCGAATCCCGACTTAACCATTTATAAATTAATCTTCCTATTGAAACTAGACCTAAACATTAATTCTCATCTCTCGAATCTTGAATCAATATTGTCAAACTCATGCATAAAAGATAAGCCTAATCTAGTCACAGAGCATTAAATCAATCAATAGGAAATTAATCTAACATTGATAATTAACAACAATAAATTACCCCTTCATATTATTTATTAGATCCCCATAAACCCTAGAAATAGAACTACTTACACATAATTAAAACTAAACTAATCAAAGTAATAAAACAAGACATGATCAAGGGAAGAGATTAAATAAAGGGTGGAATTAAACCAAGAGTTGTAGAGAGAGAAATAAGAGAGAAAGTAATACTAAGAATTTAATTAAGAGGAGAGAGAAAGAAAAGTTAGAGGGAGAAAGAGAAAAAGAAAATTAAACTAAAACTAATACTAATAAAAGAATTAAAACTAAGCTAATAACACCTAAGAAATTTGCCTCCCCTAAAAAGCTACGTACTCCACCTTTTATAAGGATTTGAGAATCTTATCTTAATTATAAGCTTAGGAAAAACTAATCCTAACCAAAATAAAACTCTTAACAAAACCCAAAGGAGCTAAATAAAAAGCTGCGGAAAATTACATCTGAAGGTTGCCAAAATAATTGGGCCTTTAACCATGAAGCCCACTGACGAAGCTGGCAAATCAATTTGCGGCAACAAGCATGCCCGATCGGGCCCACTAGAAATCACGCCCAGCAGTACTTGGTTCTTCGTTTGGGCCAGAAAATTTGGGCTGAAATTTTCTTCTTCTTCTTAATTTATCTTGGACTTGCAACAAAATTAGTACTCCAAACAAACCGAGCCCTTAATCACCGAACCAAATTAATTAGCTCGACCTTGGGCTTCAAATACTCGTCATAAGGTACGATCGTCTCTAATATTTTCATAGTGGCTCAATAAGTTCGGGAATTGACATTAATCTGCAAATTCCTACAAAATAATACCAACTCTACAAAAACACTAGAAAACATATATTAGTAATAAAAATAGCTCCGCAGAGCTCAAATAAGCACAAATATGACCGTGGGACAGGGAATAAAAATATATATAAAATAGACTCATCACTAGGTTTGTT